ATATATATATATATACAGCATATGTAATTTACCATATATATAATTTTGCGAAAATAATGAATTAATGATAATGGCAAAAAAATTGTTAAAAGTTAATAATAATGTTGATGATAAAGCTTAAACACAATAAAAACAATACCGTAATAATTATTAAGTATAACAAATGAATTTATCATCAAATATGTAATACAATAATAAAACTAAGTATATTAATTATAAAAATGAAATAAAAAATATAGTAAACAAGAAGAAAGCACAATTAAATGTAATTATAAAGAAATACAAATGAGAAAAACTATATTATAAGATACTATAGTATATATGATATTTAGATCAAATCAATATGTTATTGCTATGGTTTAAATGTTTACTGATTATTTATTATATTAGAAAATGTTTTCTATTTTAGAAATGAAAAAAAAATAACACAACATGATCAAAACACATCAAGCAAACTACAATTAAGCAAGTTTTTACAACTTCCACATTAGTATTATACGTTCTTATAATTTAATATAAAAAAATACAAACATACACCCTTAAATCCGTAGCACACAAGAATCATTGAGACGTTCAAAATAAAGCATAAAAAATATAACTATTATAACATCACAAATCAATATAAAAACATAATGTAATAATAATTATTAACACAGTCTGAAGTAAACGAGGAACATGCTTTATTACAGAGACCATTATATCTTGATGTTTTTTAATGTTTCAATACTTTAAAAGTTTTAATAATTGTGTCTTTTATGATGAATATTTTAATGAATTAATCTTACAAATTTTATGTAAAAAATACATCAATTCAGATTTTGACTGCAAATTGTATTTTGTTTTGAGAAACCTGTTTTGAATGAAGATACCAAGATATATGTGTGAATTTAAATGCATATGTTTAAATCAATAAATAATTCTAAACATACTTTCTTTCAAGTTTAAAATCAATTAACATTCACAAAAATAACAGTCATCCAGGCTATTGCTGTTATCATCATAGTTGCTGTTATCATTTTTCAAGGGTTACAATGAGATAACAATGTTGTTATTACCCCTGGTCACCAGATCCATAATCAAACTAGCACAAAGTGCAACCTCCTGCACTACATGGAAGTATTCCTAGTCATGCTTACAATTTACTGTCGATACAGACTAATACATTCAATGCCACATCATCCTGTCAAGTACCCATTTATACTTCTGGGTGGATAGAGACAAACGATGGTGAAGTGCCTTGCCAAAGGACACAAGGGAAATTCACAGGAAAGGGTCAAACTTCCAAACTCAGGGTTGAGAGGCCGAAATGCAACTTTGTGCTGTTTCCAAATTAGAGAACACATCTGAAAACCACTATTGTGACCATGCTGCATGTAAAAGCCTAAGGATTTCTTTCAATTCCTAAATAAAGCACACCCATTCATAACCCATGTGTAAATAAATGCTGAAATTACATCTTATTGAGGGACAATAAGTGTTGACTTATAATCTAATGTATTTTGTAACATATTGCTTTCTAATTTAAACTTGTATCTAAATTTCGATTAATTAATGAGATATTCTAAGGAATTATTTTTATTTATTTATTTATTTGGTTTTTTTTGTATTTATTTATTTTACATGTTTATTTCTTTATTCTTTTTCCTTGACTCTTAATGTATTTTTTTATTTTATTTTCATTTTTTTTTTCATTTTAGCCCCTTTTAAGTTTTTTATTTTTTTAAATTTATTTATTTTAACTGTTAATTTCTTTTTTGTTAATTTCTTGTAAATACATTTTTGATATCTTTTTATTTATATTTTCGGTAATTTCCTAAGACTGGGTTGATGGGCTTTTTTTATATCATCAATCGTAGTCATCTTGTTTGTTATATCTGTTCTTTTTACTGTGTAAATTGTATTGTAAACTTTTTCTGGCTGAATAAAGAATGAAAGAATGAATGAATGTACTGATTTTTAACTTTTTTTATTATGCCAAAAAGTTCATTTTTTGATATTTCAATGTTTCAATCTCACTTTAAAAAAACACTGCTTTAAATTAAAAATAAAAAACCTATTTCAAATCTACCTACAGATGAATTTTTCCAAACTGCTTTTTTGCATCTAATCTACAAAAAATATAAATTCTTATTAATTTGGTAAAATAAACCCCAAAATGTAACAAGATTATTAATTTTGGTCAAGCTAACAATGTATCAGGTCACAGTAGCGATCCAGAAATTTGAAATAGGCTTTCTGATTACAACAGCTCAAGATGGCCGGAAATGCCATTCTCAGACATAAATTTGAAAAAAAATTTTTTATCTCCATTTAAAAAAATAATTTTTACAAATTTAGGGGGCCCTGGTTGTCTTTCCCCACTCCCTTAAAAGCTGTCACTGGTGACTTGGACCAAAACAAATTAAGTGCGAGCAAACTGCTTAACGTTCTCGTTTAACCAAGTGAAAATTGCCTAGCAATCATAGCTAGGCTTTTCCCCAAGCAAAAAAGTTCAATGTTACCAGTGCTGCTACTTACATCTTACTGAATTTAAGGTTGTGTTTACAAACTTTCAACGAAACCGGATAAGTAAAAAATGACATAATGCCCAGATGGTAGGTCATTAGATGGTTCATTTACGAACCCCAGTTATCCTGATACCGACCGGAAGTTCCATCACTCGGAAAGTATACTGGTATAGGCTTTTCATCAAACATTTCACAACATTTTTTTCACTGAATTTGTCTACTTGCCAATTTTCCGTATATATTTCCTAGGCCAAACCCTGAACTCAAATAATGCTGTACAGTGGAGGCAAAGGAGACGCCGCAGTCCTACCTGTCGGGCATTTGTGGGGGTGTATCGTTGAAAAATAAAAATTGACACCCTATTGTGCCCAAGACAGCCCCAACCCTCCAAACTTATCCGGACAGTCCAGATGCTTTAATATTTATAGCTAGTTTAGGAATGATTTATCACCTCCGGCTTCAGTTATCCGGTTTTCGAAAGTTCGTAAATGGGCCCTTATTGAGCCATGCTACTATTGTGCATGTGTAAAATCCTACTGTCTGTCGTTTAGCAACAGATTCGGTAAAACCTACTTTGTGTTCTCTTTGCAGGCCTGATAGATATCTTAAATACATAGAGGAATGTACAAAACATTATGTACAACCAAGCAAAATTTCATGGTAATACAATTACACAGAATGTAAAGCCATGTAAATGATCCGACTAACTGAAAAATAAAAAATGTAAAAGCAGAAGCAGAAAATTCAAATAGATAAATGAAGACAGGACTAAATATTAAGCCCTTACCTTGTTCTTCTTTGGCTAGGAGTAAACAAATACAAACAAACACAAGTCACATGATGCCAAAACACTATACATCGTGCATGTGAATATCTGACTATAAATTAACATTTGAATGTTTTTTTCTGGTAAATATTAGTTTTTTAACTTAAGGTGTGCTACATTTTTTATATTTGTTATTGAGCTTTTTTAAAAATAAAGGTTTATGTATTCTGTATTACATTTATAAATAACAACATTATCAAATCTAGTTACCTTAAAATTGATCTACTTGCAATTATTTCTTAAAATGATTGATAAGTTGTGTTTAATTTTCTCAGACTGCTAGCATTACTGATATTGTTAATCTCACAATTGCCATTAAAAATGAATTAACACAACACCCAAAAAAACAAGGACCACATTGAACCACAATTAACAACCAACTACTGACAACATGTTATTTAATAGGCCAGGCAAGGAATACATGCATATGTCCTGCAAACACGCAAATTTACTACTGTACATTACGGGTGTGGTTTTGTGGGACCTAAAGAAAAATATCCAAAGAGTGGGGCTTTGCAAAACGATCCATTAAACAAATTATTAACATATTCCAACGAATAATGTAAATAAAAAATTGACTACCTAAGCCACTGACGTTATTATTCACACAAAGGAACATGTCTTTAATGAATTTACATTTCATTCAGGTCCTAATTGCTTTTTTGAATGGTAACTTGTGTTAACACATGCAGTTATCTAGATCATGCATATTTATGAAGTTAATTACATATTCATACGCTACTTATTATACTGTATATGCATTATGATTACTACCTTATCTTTGTCGTCATCGTCATCATCTTCCTCACTATCACCATATTCCTAAAATGAAAAAGAAAATAAAAATAATGATAATCTAAAATTTTACAAATGGATGCATTAATAATAATTATAATATGTAAGTTACAGAGAATATACCAAAAACCCCTTGTAAATATAAAAAAAGACAATATGAAATTAAACAATTTGAACATTAACAATAATTATAAAATCAAAATAGATAATGCTTGTATTGTGAAGAATCATGCTATATATTATCTACAAGATTATTAAATATCAATAACAACATTACCACCAATTTAATCAATTGGTATTAATAATACTAACAATATACATAATGTATATGAAAGTATGAATAGACTATTTTCTTTAAAGGCATTGTTTCTTTTAAGTAATATAATGAAAATGGAATGCACAGATAAATTACAAGGGTTAAATCTAATTCTAATACTGAAGACTTATGACCATACGACTGTTGACCGACGCAGTGTTTGCACAGCGGTAACATGCTGTTTATAAACAGATTAAGCACACACTGCTTTTTGTAGCAATAAAATAATTAAGTCTTGAATATTGAATGAAAATATATAATCATAGTGCTAGTGATTATAGCACCAATATTAAAGAAGCTTAGAGAGAATATATTTAGCATACAGTTACATAATATCCCATTTTTAAATTACAAATCTTGTGCACACTCGTTACATAGACACTCTTAACTAGATTTGTGATGAAGTCGCAAATGTTTCGCTGCATCTAGTTTTAGTGACAGGTCACTTTAATACACATGTTCACGATGATTCCTAGGCATCATCCTAAACGTATGCTAAATAAGTTCTCAAAACTTCTATTTTAATATTATTAATGAGCATGAAGACAAAAAGTCACTTATGTATAAATAAATGTTATATTACTACATGGTCAGGAAATTGATAAATATTTTAATATGTAAGCTCCGTGCATACTATGAAGTTTTATGTTAAATAAATAAATTTTTAAATTTTTTTTTATAAATAAATGAGATTTGCTCATAATGCATCCTCACAACATTAGCAAACCACACATATTTGTCACATAACATTTAACAGTGTTGGAAGAGCTAAAGCAGCAAAAAGAGACAGAATGTAATAATGAACTAATGACAAATAACTAATGTCTTTTTTTAAACCTAATTTCAGAGGCAGGGGGGGGGGCTGGGCCCCTTTTGGAAAGTCAAAAAAAAAAAATAAAAATAAAAAATGTATCGCTCAAAAGGCCTCAACGGTTATTTTCGGGAATCGGAACACAGAAATTTCGCAGGGATATGAACTTGTATCCCCTAGGGCATTGTTATCTTGATCGGCCCCACTTTCGGGCCATCATAAGCACTTATTGATTCCAACCAGGTTAGAAAAAATGTAATTTTAATTTACAACATTAATAGAATGTGTTGAGAATGATATTTCTCCCATTAGGTTTGTTTAGTATCATTTCGAGTGTGGGGGTGTTTATTTGAGGAAAAATATACAACCGGGGAATATTTTTGAGGGGGGGGGGGGCGGCGTTTATTCCAAATGCTATTCGAGAGGGTTTATTCAAAGAGGGGTGTTTTTTCAAATAAATGAAGTATTTTTAAAAGATTATCTGAACATAGAAAAAAATCATGTTTTGTTTTATCATTGATCAAAATGGTCCTGCCAAAAGTATCTGGGCAGATGAGAAAACAAATACAAATTTTATTTAGAAAAAAAACTTGCTATGATGCAATTTTGCAAACTAAACAGTTACAAAATTAGATTGATAAATGCTTTATATTATTTTGACAATATCATTGCGGTGCTGTGCAAGATATAAATTTAATAGCATGATTACCCATTCCCCTTACTATTTTCACAGCAGTAGGTGCTGAAAAAAACATTTTTAAGTCATTATTATCAGTGGGCTGATGATGACCTGGCATGAAAATGATGACATGATGGTGATAACGTGGCAAATTAACTATATACAAGGAAGAATATATAATTGAACAAAATCAGCCTACACTCAGAGATACTTCAGGTGAAGGTGCCCTTCTCCCCTTAGAATTTTTCTTTTTGTGCTGTAAACAAGAAACATTTAAGTAATGCAAATAAAACAAAATAATTCAAAACATATCATAACATGAGTTGATTGGAAAGAATGAAAGTGAATGAGGAAATGGTGGGGGGTAGGGCCCTGGTAATTCAAATACATTCTGTACTAATGTATTGCTTATCAATGCCATAGAGTTTATAAAACCTGAATTAAGGCCGATTGAATGACAGAGGAATGTAGTACTTATTTATCTCTAGCCCCTTGAATTTGAAAAAAATCCATGTGTGCTTGAAAGCTACTTTTATGTACATTAGGTTTATGTGTTTTATATTAAACTTACATCTTCCTCAACATTCTTGTTGAATGGAGCGGTTATACTGTTAATAAGATACTTCCAGAAGAAGATGAGCAGAATGGCCGTTGGCAACATATAGAGCTCAAAGTTCCATACAATTATGAGGTATGCCTAGAAAAACAGAGGTATGGAAGAAAAAAGTTTTGTAATTATAAAAAATAAATGTCCATTACCACAGTGCAATGCAACTGCTTTTGTCCATATGCAGTCAAGTGGTAGGGGATTTCCTCCCACATCCTGAATCTATTATTGTTTTTAATATATATTTAATCACGCCACCTAGGCAGGACTGCATCAGAGGCAGAGCAAATGTGAATGGTCGATCCTTTAAGACCTAGCGTTGTTTGCTACCATATCTTATATTATTGTTGTCATTTCAAGAGCTTTTGTTTTATAAGTTGGTGTACAAGGCTTAGGCTACGTTCAGACCTGAGAGATATGCCAGGCATATTTAATGGGCGTATGTTAATTCATGGCGAAACTAGCGAGATGTCCAGACTAGGCGATTAGCGTAACGCTAGCGTAAGTATTCATCCAACACATTCATATTTCTAATCAAGCATTTTATTTCATGTTTACATCTAGGCTCATTGTGCTTGGTCAAATCCTGGCCGAGTTCAAAATCATTGATGCATGACTGGTGGATTCTCGTACACGAGTGATTGCGTGTTAATACTCGCATTCGCTATGCCGTGCACAAGTTCACATCACTCGATTAACGTTACACTAGCATAACTCGTGTCTGAACATAGTCATAGCGGCACTGTGTAATATGTGGCACTGTGTAATCTGTAGAACTTTATATTTAGGATCATATAAGACTTTTTTTGGAAGGAATTATTTATTCAGTGATACTAAATAAAGAGGATAAAATAATGATTCTTACAATGAATGCAGTAATACTTCTTGGTTTACTTTCCCATTGGAAACAACTGTTGATAAATTTCCCTGTTTCAAGGATGTGGCCTAAGAGTTTTGATGTGCGATTAACATTGCGTTGTAATAGCTGAAAATTAAAGTCAAGAAATCATGATTTATGCTTTCACACATTATAAGGCAGTAAGTTGCAATAAATAATACAGAGACTGGTGTCCCAGCAGTAATAATATAGTAACATTTTATAAAGTACGTACAAATTAAAAACATAACTTGTCATCGATGATAAAACATTAAACAGAGATATTGTTGGTGGTTTTATGTTCATCACTTAAATAAGGAATAGACTTTTGGTTTCTTTTGTTCAATTTCATTTGTTAACTGCATAAACCAGAACGGGTTGCAACACCTTTAATTTAACATTGAATTTGACACTCTGTTCTATGAATCTGTTTCATAGCGCAGAGTTTAACTGATTACAGATAGACAGATAGATAGATAGATAGATAAAAAAAGATACATTACAATACATACAGATGTTAATTAGGCTTACAAAAAACTGTCTGCTACCAGTCATTTGAAACTGTATGTTGAGTACTCAATAATTATTTAAAATATAAATTGCTACAACACTGAACACAAGAAAAAATACCACAAGCTATAAATCAATCCTGTAAACACATACACACTCATCTTCTTTCACTGAACACTTTATTCAAAGGCTGCAATTTGATTAAGTCAGCCATTTAGAGAGGCAGAATTGTTCAGCTACTCACCGAGATCTTGAACTTCTGTTCCAGCTCCATATACTTAACTTCACGAGGGTTCAGAGTTCGAATGGCAGCTTTTACCTAGCAAAATGAAAATAAGAATTTATTAAAACTAATAAACTTTATAGATTGAAAAACTATGTATAAAATACAGTAAACAATGTAAAACTTCACAAAATCCTATTGGATTTCTCATAAAAAGTAATTACATAACTGCTTCAAAATTAAGTTAAGTTAGTCAAGTTTGATATATCAAATATTATAAAAATATAAATTGATTTTTAAGTGCTTGAAAAGATGAAAATATAAAAAATATAAAAGTATAAAACCAAGGAATCGCCTAAAGCTACAGTACCAAGAGTAACTGCATGGAGTGTACACTTTTGTTCTCATCGTAGCTTTCACTGTCATTGCGACAGCTTCAATCTGCAGAACGAATCCCCCAACATTGTTATGTGACTATTCCAAGTGGGGTAGTCAAATGACAGCAGCATCAATAGTATAATTTTTTTGCTACATCAAATTCGCAGGTAAACTTATTGTATCATTAATACAGCAATGTTAAAATATTTAAACTTACAGTGTTGAAAATAAATTCCATTTCCAATAGAATAGCCCCTTTGACCCTTGCCCTTAACTTCTTGTCCTTCAACGAGTAGAACTTTCTCTCACCATTTTTAATCTAACAATATAAAAATTCACAATAAAATATATTGCTGTATCTGCAACAGTATCTAAAAAAAATTTCAAAACAAGTTAATTCAAGAATGTAAAGGATTTCAACAAGAACCTTGGTTTTTTAAACATGAACACTTCAACCAGTACATTTAGCCTCCATAAATTTGTTGTCTATATTTTTGAATTGAATCCTGGTACTAAGCATTAACATTTCTTTTTTAGGGAGATGGGGTTTATAGGGTCTTTTTGACAATAGTGGAATATTATCTCTATCCAACACACTGTTTGGATAAGGTAGAGGAGTGAGGTCCTATATAGATGGGAAGAATGAAGGTATCATAGGACATTCCTAGAGTAACGTCTCAATCTGCAGAACGAATCACCTAACATTGCTATGTGACTATTCCAAGTATATATCGAAATTCAGTTAAACTAGTGGAATATTATCTCTATCCAACACACTGTTTGGATAAGGTAGAGGAGTGAGGTCCTATATAGATGGGAAGAATGAAGGTATCATAGGACATTCCTAGAGTAACGTCTTACCCCCAGGAATTGGTTATTTGTAGTTTGATTAAAGTCATTTTATTACATTGTTTTTTGTTGAATGCTGTACTGTTGTGATATATAGTGAATGTTGCCCCACGATGGCTTTTGTAACAACAACAATTCTGTGTCTGAAGGCTTCTATTCAATCAATAGGCCTATGGGCCTTTTAACATAATAAAACATAATACAAATTAAATGAGGGTTTCTAAATACACATTCCTATAATTATATGCATAATATACATACTTTAATAAATTAACAAAATTCTCAACTTTAGATGAAATATAATAAAAGATCTGAAATTTGAAGTAATTTTGTTAACATAATGTGTGGTAAAAATGTTTTTCTAATGTCAATAGGGACAAACTAAAACAAAATGATGTTGATCTTCTGTTTTATCTAAGTTACATAAACTTGCATAATCTGTCTTTTCTTTATATATTTACCCATATCTACCCCTAGTTCCAAAATACCCAATCTAATTTTGTAAAGATTCGCTTACATTTAAAATCAATATTTTGTATCTACTCCAAACGTATGCTTAAACATTTTGTAATGTCTAAATTTTGAATGTGAATCTTTTCGAAAAATTTCTGTCATTTTATATCTATCAACCTAATTTTAATTTCAGAAATAAACATATTTATATCATTCATATTTTTAGATAACCATATTTCACCAAAACTATAGAACATAATAATAACCTAAGTAGAATTGAATTATTGAAAAATAGTTGTTGTCACAAATAAGCATCAGGGTAGGCATGAGTCACTAACTCAACCATTCAAGAAACATGTGATATGTAGCAAAAATAATATCATTAAAGCCCCATTCCTGGCAAAATTTCAGTTGTTAAGAAAAATCTTATTTTTATATATGTTATATATAAAGATATATAAATATAATACTAAATTGCTAGTTTAACTGAATTTCGACATTCCTAAACATGAAAAAATGTAAAATAAGACTGAAATTTGATTTTTTTTTATTTTTTATGTTCCACACAAAAAATAAATGCAGATGAATTTGTTATGTTTGATTTTGCGATAGGTCTGCGAAGAAATATATTAGGCGCCGGAAACATTACCTTATCCAACATTGCTAGGCTAGGCCTAGCCTTACCTCGATTTAACATAAAACGGCCGACATGATATTTTCCTTTGCTAGTATTGACACTATGTAATATTTCATAGGAATTATTTCAAATCTGTTGAAATGATTCTGACCCGAGATTTTGACAATTGAAGAAACATATTTCAGGCCTACTCGATCGACCGCAGTGTGCGAGATGCAAAGTACAAAAACTAATTTCATTAGAGAGGGCGCACTTTATTGACTGTATAAAGTATACATAAAAGTGAGAGCATTCTAGCGAATGCAATCTACAACCTCTGAATTTGCCTAGTAACGAAGAATTCGTTGAGAAAATGGTAATTTCCTATGAAAAATAGTCTTTCTTTCTCATTTTTTTTATTCTTTTGCGTAAAACTAAAATTCATGCCAATATTTTTCCATTGTCTATAATAATTTGAGTAATGCATATGCATTTTTTCTAAAAATGTTTTTTTTTTTTAGTGAAATTTTGCTGGGAATGGGGCTTTAACTATCAACCAAGAACCTGGCCTGTTGCCCACTAAATAGCTGAATATATATAGCATGGTGACTGCAATGCAATCATACAGAGTATTTTTATTTCCAATTAACAGTGATACTGCATATAAATATATTAGAGCTTGTAGCAAATTAATAATTGCGTCTGTAGAGACAGCCATGACATATCAGTACATAGTTTGAAGCTTTTCTTTGAGGCATAGACTGATAGCCATAGATATTTATTTAATGTGAATACATATTTGAAATAAAAACAGCATTCTTTGTTCAACATGAAAAGGACAAAAACAGTATTACTGTATGTTGTTGCAATGTACACCTGAGACTGAAATTGGTTGGCAGTAATAAAATCCAACTTATTGTATTAGAAAACACATTAAAAGAAGTATAGTCAGTATAGTTATGCTGATACTGAGTGAATCATTTCTACTCTGAGACAGCTTAATAAATATGTACAGTTTCAAAAAAGCTCTCAGGAAATTGAAGTCATCTACATTATTTATAAACAAAATATACATTAAACAATTTCTAAGACATATGAAATACATTTAAATAAATTTGTATAGGTATTCTTTAAATTGAGTCTGATAAATGGGAGCGCTTAGCACAGCAGTTGTTATTGTAGTTCAGGCGAAGAATTGATGTCTGTGATTTGAACCACTTGTGTATTTATCTTGTGTTTTTATGTAAAAGAAAATACCTACATATATCTAACGTATCTCCACCCACGATTATAAATGGGTAGGTGGTAGAATATTTAACAGTTTTCTTTACACATTCTGGCTTTAGAAAGATTATAATAACCAGAAAATAACAAGTGTTAAAGGCAGTTTGGTTCGAAAGTATAAATTATTCCCACAATTGTAACCAATGACAAGTAATAACAAAAAAAAAAATAGGGATGCCTGTAACAACAAAAAACACACTGAAAGATTTTATAATTTCCAAAATAGATTTGAACAACATATTAAAGCTGAGAGCAGGAAAGGTTAAAATTGTTATAAGACTTTGCTTCTTACATTTAATAAAGGAACTGCTACTTTTCCCAAAAATTCTGGACTTCCATGTTTATCTTCATCGTAGACGGTAATTTCAAGAACCGAATGAATATCTTTCACGTTGCTGAAAAATTACAAAAACACAAAAGAAAGAATTAGTTAGGGGCCATCCATTATTTTTTTTTACAATTTTCAAAATGGTGCAATACATATCTTATTACACCCTCTCTCCCACTTAAAGTTTACACTATAGAAAAACAATTTTTTGTCAATTTTTGATCATCCTATTTTTTGAATAAAAGAGTACATACATCTTAAACCTCATTACTAAGGCTTAGTTAGAGCTTCTCAGGGTTTACTTCATTCTTCAAGTGGTAAGAAAAATGATTTTCCAGGTGACAATGCCTATGTATGCAGATTTCTGAAACAATGCATTTAAATTATTACTTACAAAGTGAACACCTTTCCCCAGTCTGGATTTAGTGTTTTATAAATTGTTTGCGTTTGGAGACGGGTATTGACTAGTTCAAGAACGCAAAATGGATCACTCTTGCCTGAAAAAATAACAAAACAAGAGCATTGATGATGCAGTAGACAACTCCGATCGTGCAAATCAAAAGTATCACTTTGTGCGTATGCACATTCACACTTCTACGAAATTAGTAGTTCAAACTGTTTCTAATTTTTGCGAAGAGAAAAAATGCAGAAACCAGTCAGAGCTCAGGAAGTGAACCAACACTTTAGATTAGTGGAAAACAGGTCTAAGGTTTGTATATTTTTAAGATAATTGAATGAGCAGTTCATGATCAATTGTATGATCATTTTAACTACTGACAAGATTATAAATGCTTCTCAATCTGGTTTTAGAAAAAACCATTCTACAAATACTACTCTAATAGACGTATCTGATCATATACTTAATAATTTTAATGATGGTAAAGCAACAGCTGCCATATTTCTGGATCTTAAAAAGCTTTTGATACAGTTGATGAAATTCTCATTAGGGTTCAGGGGACCAAAGACTCAGGGAAAAATTTGCTATTTTTACATTGTATAGACCAATCTTAATGATGTTCAGTAGTAGTAATATAATCAAATATTTTAAAAATTGTTTTATTAAAATACATTTTAAACAGGGCTATGGTGAAGCAAAGCAATAAAACACTTTGAATTCAAACCAGGCAGGTTCATTCAAGAGAAATATCACTACTCACTGCATCATTGTTATTTTAGTATTTTGCCTAACAAAGCTAACAAAAAAAAATAATGTTGCTAACACTATGGTACACTTTCAATCAATACACGCATTATAGAGAGGTAGTGACGCCAAAAGGCCAGGGCAAGCAGGGCTAGTGACACAGAGCCCGGGCCCGTGTTAACTAGGTAAAAAAAATATTTATAAAATATATAAATAAAAATTATTGTGACACTGAATTTCAACTGAAGAAAAAATGCATCTTATATATTTTTAAAAAAATTAATCATTATAAATCTTATACTAAATACGAAATAATGTAAAGTATTATTAACCGTATATACTCACTTTAAATATTAAAAAGACAAAATTAATGGTATTTGGGACTAGCCAAATTCTTTCTAAGTTTAAAACATTTCTATTTCTTACAATGGTGACATAATTGAAGGAGTTAATTCTTTTAAATACCTTGGTGTCACTTTAACATCGGGCAGGGAAAAAGAACATTTTTATATCGAACATCCACAAGCTGGAATGAACTACCACACAAAGTAAAAATAAATTTCAAAGAAATGTCAACTTTTTCATTTAATCATCCAAAATCATTTAAAATAATGTTTTAATTTTATCTTAATTTATTCATTGTTTATTATAATTACACTGTATATATGTTCTCGTCACTGAACCACTTGGAAAATCAGTACTAGAGTACTGAAAGTGCCTACAGTATAAAAAAAGATTAAATAAATAAATAAAATAATATTTGAAAAATGTATGCACTGAAAAATCGAATATCTATGCCATGTCTTTGGGACATGTGTTGTACCAAAAGGTTGGACAATCTAAGATTAAGGAAACTACATTGTACAGGTGACAGTCGTATCTGCTAGCAAGTATGTATAAGTCAATAGTTGAGGCCAAAACATTGAGCTGTCACAAATCCTATTTCAGAAAAAAACATCTAGTTTTTTTACACATCAACATAAGGATATATTTGCTATTATTATCTAAATTAAACAAGTATTGTGTTTAATTTGAAGGGAAATAATAAACTATCCTCCCAGGATTTACCTCTAGTACGATAGCTAACTCTCACGTCACTGTGTTTGTTTACAACATAACACACAGTTTCTGCGGAGTAAAATCGTGTAGAGTCAAATGAGATGTATCACAAATCTCACCATGTGCTCCACTTTTCGCTCGCCTTCCCGAGTAAAATTAGGCCTAGTGAGTGTCCATGGTATGAGAATTTTTAGCGCTAATGCCACATGACATGTGTAGCCTTGTCTGCCAATTTTGCGTACCTCTAATATAGAAAGGTAGATTTTAGCCTGCATTTTGGAAATTACAGCAGATTCATAAGGTTCTTCATACAAAGATACATATGTCATAAGTCACAACAGGGAGGTGCTGAGTGACCTGCGCAGTTTAAACACATGTGTTCTAATGACTGAATGAGTAGTTTGTGTTCTTCCACAATTCTTTGCTCCTTCTGAATATACCATGATTATAAATTGCCGTTTAAGTACTCGGCTTTGCGAAATAATAATTTTCATCAAATGCAAGCAGAAATTTCTTAAATAAGTATTTTGTGTGTTACTGTAATGGTAATTAAACATTTATAACCAAGGCCATGCAAAGAAAAAACATGTCTGATGTGGATTATGGGTATAAATTCTGTGCCTCCATCCATTGTAGCGCAAAGGTATACACACATCAAGTGACAATTTTTTAAACTATTTGAGCAAAACACAGTTTCCTATGCAAAACGGCCTATGCTCAATACGTTGGATATTCTATTAAATTAAATTTCACGAATTTCCCCATCACTTTTCCCCAAAAAATGTTTCATACTTTTAATTTCCTAAGCTTATTTCTCAATATACTACTAATTACAGACAAATATCATGAGATATGAAGCCTCTGATAGCAAATATTTTGTCCTCAAACACGATGCTGCTATAACCATGTATGGATCCTGCAAAGATACAATAGCGCCTTCATCAGGTTAGAGAATATCACCTATCATATTAAATTGTACAATTTAGAGACCTCTCATGGGAAATTAATCCAGACAATTTAATATTTAGAAAATTCCTAATATGTTAGACAGTGGCAATATGCTTTATAAATTAAGTGACAATATTCTATGATAAGGGAATTAACTAATAATATCATAGCATCTACTATAATAATGTAATTTATAAGTCAGTCGCGACGTCATCACTTTAATTTGTACTGAATTTTCAGATCCCCAACTGATCATTATATCGATATAGTGCCTCCGAAGCTCAAAGCTGGGGTGATTTTACTATAGTGCATTGTGATGGAATATTTCGTTGCTAGGCCAAGTTATGAACACACACAGCAAACATAACAAATTTTGCTAAACGGTGATGGTTAACATGAATGAAGCAAGGCCTAGAAAGGCATAATGGTTATGAGATAACAAGGTGATTGACTTAGACAAGAACTGAAAAAAATAAGGCAACACTGAAATAATTCATATTAATTTTTACAATACACTTTAATCTATTAAACGAATGTCTACCGGGAGGTTAGGCCTACATAATAATCCCTAATAAACTTCAATAACCACAATCAATCTATTCATAATCTTCGTATCTCGAAGAGTTGTCCAAAGAGTTCAGTGAGCGTACTACCAGTAACAAATCATTCTAATATGCGCAGTCAATGCACACGCACAGTGATCACTGAGCAACGGCCATCACAACCAACAGTTTGATTTATAAATATACTGCATACAGCAACGGTTGTACAGGTGATGGCCGACATCACAACTGACTTATAAAGCAATTATATGTGAGCTGTCATGACAATATGAGTCTTGTGGTACAAAACAGGGAAAATAAGTAATTTATATATTTAGATAGATGACTATATATAGCCTTTATTTTTGTCTTTGAATCAGGTTCCTAGATTGAGTAAAACCGGAGTAAGATCATTTTCTAAGTCTTATATCTGAAAACATACTTTAGTGAAAATCTCCACTAAAGATAAACAACTAATAAATTTTGTGTTGGTTTTCCTATCAATTCTGAAAATGAGCTTTACAAAATGTGCCTCAAAAACTCTTTTAACTAATTTCAATCAACTCAGAACAGCTGCTATCGTAAAATATATATATTAAACCGATCAGAAACACTGAAATCCAATATATGTCAAAACATCACTTCATATATATTTTTTTGAATATCTCAATTTGACCTGCCGTACCAGAAGGCTAATTTTGTCACGACACCTCACTTATAGTCAAGCAATTTTATACACTAAGGAAATATAAGCCTTAGGACCATTACTTTCTTCAAAATATTTTCAGGAAATAATGGCTCCTTCGGCTTCTATTTCCTATAGTGTACTCAAACCCTGACTATAATTGCTTATTATAAGTCAGTGGTGACGTCATAACTTTTATTTGCATTGAATTTTCCTATTCCTGACTGATCACTAATCAATATAGGGCCTCCCATTTTTTGCATCTCGTGTGCAAAAAAAGATCAAAGCTGGGATGATTTTACCCCAGTGTAAAACACAATGGAATATTTTGTTGAAGGCCAAGCATTGAAAGCACACAGCGAACCTAACAAATGACGTCTAGACCATCATGGTATGGCCTAGAAAGGCATAATGGTTATGAGATAACAAGGTGATTGACTTATACAGGAACTGAAAAAAATAAGGCAACATTGAAATAATTCATAATAATGTTTAGAATACATTTTAAACTATTAAACAAATGTCTACCAGGATGTTACCAATTATATACTAATAACCAATTATAAAGTTTTAACCACAATCAATTTATTGATCTCCATATCACCAAGAGCTGTGCAAAGAATGTATTAATCATATTATCATATTAATGTGCACAGCTAATGCATACGCACAGTGATCACTAAAGCAACCAGTACTTTGATGGATTTATGATATACTGTAGGACCTATAGCAACCGATTTACAACAACCAGCAGTTTGATTATAAAAGGCCATAGAAAAGGAGCTGGATGTCACAAATGACTTATAAAGCAATTATAGTTCAGTAATTTTGTACACTATAGGAAATAGAAACCTTAGGAACCATTATTCCCTATTGTGTACTCAAAACCTGACTATAATTGCTTACTATTCCTTATTAAGCAAGCCATAGTGAAATACACAGTAAATTACTTTATAGAGTTTCAAACCCAGAGCTTTGTACAGAATAGCTAGAGAGCAACTGCCTTTATTGCATAGATAATCCTAGTTTGTTAATAGCGGTGGATTCGTGCATTGGCATCTGTCTCACTGTACCTACACAGAGATCCATATTTACTAAAAACTTAGGGAAGTTTCAATGCAAAAGTGTTAATCCCTACGGAATATTAAGTTTGTATAGTGATCTGAAATTTTATCACACACATTCATGTATTTAACTGAACCAATGGGTTCAGTTAAATTCCTGATGACAAAATTAATGTCGAAATATTGAATCCCGACACGATGGCGTATATTTCGATACTTCAAGTATTATACTATCTTATCTGAGATTAATCAGGACCTTTCAGTTCAATGGGGAATTGTTACTTGCATTCCATCTCTCCAGCTGAAACACAAGGAGAGCAGAGGATGAATTGAACTAGGTACCAAAAAAGGATCTCTACGGTTCAGAACACACACAGCAGCTACCACCAGTTTAGCCGACTGAGATATGCTACTCACATTACATGTGCACATTTGCATAATTTGAAAAGAAAAACCAAAACACTTACCTCCGATATCAGCTGATGTCAGATTTTGTGCTCGTATAACTATAAAAAAAACACACATGTTAATTTGATGGGAAATATGGTCATCTGTCTACTTTACTCTATCCCATTAACATCTGTAACTAGAGATAACGTAAACAATTCAAGAAGCGATGAGTAAATATTACAACCCTGTGAGAATAGTGATATCGATGATAATGCTGATAACTTTAATGATGTTAATAATAGGAATTTTTTACATGATAACAGCAACCATAATTTAATTATTAATAATAACTTATAAGGACAACTGCAGCAGCAACAACAGCAACAATAATAATACTTAAACTAACAATGATAAAGTATATTCTACTTATTAAACCTTGTTTCTTTTTTACCAGTTGAAATTAATACGCCATCTGCAATCTCTGTCTTCCCCTAGCTCTAATTCCCTCTAGTTTACATTCTATTGTCTTTTTAATATTTACATATCAAACTAAAATTTATTCCTTAGAAAACAATTTATTTTATTAAATAATGGCAAAATATTATTATTAGTTATTAATATACAAGTGAATATTTATATAACCCAACATATAAAGACCCCATGCCTTTATTTCTATTTTTAATGTTATTGTATATATTAGTTTAATTAAATAAACATTAATTCAATATTCATCTGTCTTATAATAACATTAAAATATATATTTTATAATGTTCAATGTATTTATATATTTTTTTTTTTTTTTTACTTTTTTATATAGCATTTTGTATTTTATAACATGCAATTTTCCACATCTCCAGTTTGTTTGATGTGACATAAATTTGTTCAAGAGGGGATGTAGACAGAGGTGCTTGACACCTGTTCATCCCTTCTCTTTTGCTGCTTTTTCTGTCTCGTTATTCTGTTACATTTACTCATTGTGTGTGCAATAATGAAATAAATTATAATTTTCCCATCACTAATTATCATTAACAATTTAATATTTCTTCAAGTTTGAGACTAAACATTATATCACATTAAAGAGAATTGAAAATATTTTCATGGTATTTTGCACATATTTTCTTTCCTGTTTTAGTGTGCTGAACTTCGCAGTGTGCCCATCTTTGCAGTTTAGAGAACCATACCAAGCAGAAGATAAGATAGATAAATATTGAAATGGTTGTCTATTATTAAGAATTCTCAATTAAGTTAATGGACTTCTTCTAAGATGATCAATCTTTGACATTATTAGCCATTTCAATTATGCTAGGTTTACACTATGTCCCCGGTGGCCACGTTTCAGGCACCGCGAACCGAATGGGATGGACGAGAGACAACGCGGGGAGACGGGAGGGGCAAACGTGACGGGCCATGATTGCCAGCGCAAATTTTTAAACTGTCAAAAATTTGTCACGGCAGTCACGGTGCGAATGAGAAACCTAGTAAGCAGCAGTAAAATGGGGTGATTGCAACAAAACGTGACAGTACGTAATAAGCCATCAAAACTTGGAGGCGGTCCGTAGTGGGACGGGAAGCATAAAATGGAAGAAAGCCACAAATAAAACAAAAAGAATCCAAGCTATGCCAACAAAAAAGCCAAGACGGAAACTTGAAATGTGGAAAAAATTGCTAAAATCCCATGGCGCACTACATTTCGGGCAAATAGGGCAGCCGTGGCCACCAGGAACATAGTGTAAACCTAGCATAAAGGCCTGTGTTTTATAGATTTCATTAATAGTAGCCTTTTACCTCCGTTTACGACTATAGTTTGAACATCCCTTTCAAATCAATCATTAATTAACAAGGACCTGTACTCTTATAATGCTTATATTGAACTTTATTCTAACCTTTCACTTGCAACCAACCAACATCTTTTATATCCTTTAAAGAGCCTCGTAAACTCTATTGGGGTAAACAAAATAAATCATTAAATTAAAAGCATATAATAAATCCATTTCCTCTACAGAGAATTTTAAAAATCCCCAAAAATGATGATGATGATGATGTTAATGATGATGATGAAGATCATGAAGAAGGATCCTAACAATTGTGTTATGTAAAACTAGAAAGTACTTAAGCCTGTTTTCCACTAAATGAATTTATTCGCGTAAATTAAAAGCTTCGGTTCATGCGCATTCACATTTCTACCGAAGTTTGTTTTTCTTCATCAAAATCAGTAGTTTGAACTGTTTCTTCTTTTTGCGAAGATTTTTGCTTTTGATTTGCACGAATAAACTCACCTAGTGAAAAAACAGGCTTTATGGATTCATATAACATGGCATATAAAGACCATAGAAACATCAAGGATATGAACTATAAGCAGTTCACAACAGATGCACGTAGACAGAAAAAAGTTTACAACAATAGTGTACATATGATGATGAAGATGATGAATCCTAACAACTGTATCATGTCAGCATACGTAGATTTGGCCAAATAGCATCCTAGAATTCAAGCACAAGGAGAACTTAACGTTCTCGCATGCGCAGATGACTTTTAGTGACGTTATAACGTTTTACATCCTACCGTCGTTGCGCAATCAAAAGCTCCCTATTAAATCAAATTAGACCTTTCCGCTAAGCCCCGCCCCTTGGATATTGTTGCTAAGGTCCCACAAAACAATAGCGTAAATGTATGTAAACACCTGAGTTTTGTGGGACCGGATACTATAATACATACTCCCAAGTATCGAAATGTACTCCATCGTGTCGGGATTCAATATTTCAACATTAATTATGTCATCATCAGGAATTCTGATGATGACATAATTAATGTTGAAATATTGAATCCTGACACAATGGCGTGCATTTCGATACTTGGAGTATGTATACTATCTTATCTGAGATAATCAGTGGACCTTTCGGTTTTTGTGGGACAACACATGTGTTTTTAGTGCACGTATTCCTGGCCTTGTTCTGATTGGTCATACACTAAGTTTGATTGACACTACAGAAAGGTACATTGGACTCACATATCGTTCAACAAGATCTCTTCTTAAGTTGGGGTCAACTTTGTAGTTTGAGAGGTCAGAGACAGCTTCCCCTCCAGATGTTCCTGAGATTGTGAGTAGAAGACAAACGACACCAGCGCCATCTTCAAGCTCCTGTTCGATGTTATGTGTGACCTCCTTCTTCAGTTCGTTCAGGTCTATGGTAGATCTAAGTACAACATTGATAAAATAAAACAATTAGTTCATTAGTAATATAAATCAATCAATCAGGTATAATCCTGGCTTTTGAATAGATTAAACTTAAGAGTGTGGTATTCTACATAAGCACTTCCACAAATTATTCACAATTTTCTTCAAGCATATTTTATTATATAGGTCACAGTATTTTGACTTCATCTGATGTGATCTACGTATTTGTTCCTTTGGGAAATCATATGATTGCTTGGAATCGGCATTCAAGCATAGCAGCCTTCCTCAAAATATTTCACATCGAAATTTAATTACCACTTGTCAGGAACTATCTTAATTTTGATCAATGAATATGATATGACAGATCTGTTGCTGTGACAAACAAGTTACTAACATAGAAGTCAAGTGATTATTTTGTTGAAGCAGTTGGCACAAAGTTTGCGGCTCTGACGTTTAACCTTGAGGTTGGGGTCGAAACTTTCGCTGTCCAAGTCGCTTGTATCCCTGGACAAGACATTTGTCTCTCTCTACCCAGGAGTACAATTGGGTACCTGGTAGGATCTAATAGCAAGCAATGATTCTAGCAACTTATGAAATTGTGCTATTCCAGGCCAAGGCAAATGACTGTGGAAAGTTTCATGTTAATAGCTCATGGCAATTTTCATGTTAATAGCTCATGGCAATTTTGCGATATGTATCATGCCAACAAAAAATGGGGAGAAAGAAAGGATAAAAAAACAAAAAGATCCTGACAATAACAAGATGTGACCAATTTATATATACTACTAAAGTAACTTTTTGTATTTTTCTCTGTCCACCAAATATCTCCAAAAGCATTTCAAGTAGAATTATGATTTTCACAGGTTGTAGCTATCACCAATGAGACGAACATCTGCTATGTTAGGACTTGATTTTATTTATCCTACATGTGGTTTTTTTGGCAAAAATTTACACATTTTGTTGCTGTATACTTCCAAATCTCATAAATGTTGTGATGTCATTGTGCCACACACCCATTCTAATATACATGTTGCAAGTCCCACATGCACACATTCATAGCCATATTTATTCAGAGACGCTATTACTGTATATGGTGTAATTTCACATGCAAGAGGGTACTGTACTCCAATGTATTATCAAAATGGAAAATTCCTCACTAGAGCTATTCGGCAGAGACACTCACACAAAACATTATCTACAAAGAGGTCATTTAGAAAAAATAATGACAAGGTGACTATAACATCCTCAATGATTGCCTCCTCACCTTCCCATAACATTTAACTATATGCCTTGCCAACTCTCACACTCATTTAACACCATGTGTTTGTATATGCTAGTAATCAGTAATAATAATAATAATAATAATAATAATAATAATAATAATAATAATAATATAATGATGATGTGATACAGAATCTGTATGTTCAGTACACCTTAATCACAAAACCAACATTGTATAACAGAAACATTTTTAATTCTCTACACAAAAGTATAACACAACAAATTTTAAATTTTGCTTTCAGTGTCTTCACTCTTGGAACATCCACCAGGGTTTTACCCACGGTCAGTATGGATAATGAATAATAACAATTACAAATTAAAAATTACAAATTCATTAAGATCCAGGGTCGTACAACATAAAAATATAACACACAGTATACAACACAGGATAAGTAAAACATGCACTATAACAACACTATATCATAGATTAAACATATCGTATGTATTATTACATAATGAAAATAATTGTAAATGGAAATCAATCAAGCAATCAAACATTTTAATGAATCAATTACCTCCCCATAATCTCATCTCTGGCACCAACATCTTTATCCCAAACTGAAAGTTCTAAGATATTACTCTGGTCGTCATAGAGATGAAGATCAAATTGTTCCATCCAATGAGGGTTTAAAGTTTTGTTCTCAACCTGAAATTAAGTAAACCAATTATTGGAAAGTTTAAATTAGATAAAAAGGAAGACAGTTGTTAAATCAGACGTAGTACCAACCTCAAATAATTGTTTGTTATCTTTCGCAATTCTTACTAGAAATTACATTAAATCCAGACATCACAGGGAAAAATTGGAAGAAAAGGTGGAGAAAAGGGTGGTTATCCCCCTTTACCCCACATTTTTAATATTCAAAAATTTGTATCTCATTAACTGTTCCTGAATTTTTTGTCAAACACCATTTTTGGAAAATCACTTGTATTGTACAACATATCAAAAATGTTTTTTTCCCCTGCAGTCTGTAGTTCACAGGTGGGCAAAGTGCGGCCCAAAATCGATAGCGATTTTTTTTGCGGTCTGCAAAAATGAATTAAAAACCCTATGAATGCAGCCCGCCAAGCAACATTGACTAGAGAACACCTTGTTTTTTTACGCCAGACATCGATCATATGTAAAATGTAACATTAAAACTGAGAATAAAGTGGTGTAAAAGCAGTGCTTGGAGGTTTTTGGAAGGTCACTGGAGATATCAAACGTTGGGTGCGACCCTCAGGGTTAAATTAAAAATTCACTTTGGCCCTCCAACTGATTTTTATGCCCACCCCTGCTGTAGATATTTGGCAGTACTGGGATCATACAACATTTCTAGGGCATCAGCAATGCTGTTTTTCTCTTTTACTTCATTTTAAAAGTTATGAAACAAATAAAAACTGACAGACTGTCATTTTAAAAGTTTAATGGATATGTTTCAGTGCTATTAACTCAAAATATTATTTTTTGAAAATATCATAAAAACTATCCATATAGAGGTATTGATGAAAATATAGGTTGTTTTGGCAATCAGTATTTCGGGCTCCTTATAAATCAAGCCCTATGAATCAGGACCTGAAGGGCTCTATTGGTTGGAAATGGGTACAAGGACCAGAAGTCTACATGAACCTATCGTTCAACACACATAGATTTGGCTAAAACCAGTTTAGCTGACGGCATTAAGCTAAGTTTGTATCAAGAAGATTATAAGATCTTTACCTTACTCTTATACTTCTCATGACCCAGCTTGAATTTGATGTAAGGATCGCTAAGTCCATTATCATCCATTGGAATCAGATTGCGTCCCTCAAGTAGCGTTATCGTAACAACTCCGCTCCATATTTGCATTTTCATCTTTCGTCGTTGACTTTCCTGTTTCGATTTCTTTGCTAGGAACTAAAATGAGGTAAAATATGTGGTTTTAACTTCACAATTCAATCTCTAATATAATAATATTTTGTACAAACTCTTCAATTGAAAACATTTAATAACTACAATTTAATTGTGTATGTCTAGCTAGAACATTTTGATTGTGGAGACCAACAAAATAAACAAAGTTTGTAAAATACATACAAACATACTTATAGAAACATTCTTATGTTACAACATGTTTAGATAAGATGGATATCAATGTGTGAAGATGATAATGATGAAAAGTAACAGACATAATAAGTAGCAATGATAAACATTAATATTACTTATAATAATAATTACTTTTTATATTTTTAAACATTGATAATATATATATAATGGATAGTATTAAAATGTTAATAATATACAATTAATGTATTCATTTACAATAATAATAATAGTCATTAATTATAACTATTATTCTTCCAAAAAGCAATGTTGATTTTTACCCAAAATGATGTCACATAAGTGGTAATCGGGCCCATACAATTAGGCCAGCAAGCTTGCACTAGTGGATAGGCTTAAATTTAAATTTGTAGCGGGTACTGCAATGAGATTAATTACATCATGCAAAAATATTTAAGGATGTAACAAGTGTTCAGTGCGACATCGATGTCAGGTTTGGTTAAACAATATTCATAATTAATTTCTTTGACACACATTTTGTTTTAACATCATTATTATCAATATATCACAAGTCTCGCCACAATAACTTTGGTAGCTCATACTGCAGATTATGCTATGTGTGTCCTATATACCAAATTAAAAAATCAACACAAAATAATTAAATACATACAACAACTTTAATGTACATAAATCTAAAAACAAATTCAGTGAAATATGCTTGGGATGGATAAACATTGACTGTATAACTAAGTAAATTGCAAACACCTTTGGAATACTAATTAATCACTACTGTAAATTATATTTACAGCATTTTATATTGAGAATAATTAACTAAATGCACACAGACTGTGCAGCATTAGAATTGAATATGTAGAACTAGAAAGTCATATTTATGCAAAGAAAAAAACAAAAGGCAGAACATATAAACATACAACTTACATCTACAACTGTCAATACAATTGTTAGTGCGAATCAGCGTAAATCAGATCTCTTCAACTAAAAATTACTCTAAGGCCTCGATGGTCACTGTGGAGATGCTTCCCAATACAGAAACCAAACCCTAATATTGTCTATATATGAAGTATATTTTTTAACTAAAGGCAGAGTATACCATCTAAATATTTACTATCATAATCAATAACATCTGTTGTAGCAGAACTTGCTCCATACAAAAGATTGTACATATCAACTATGGGATAAAATATACTATGCGATAAAATGTACTATGCTAAAAATTCATCGATAATAATTTTTAATCTTCAGTATTCGGAATATTCTTGTATTTAAAGATAATTAACTACAGGGACAATGATCAACTCCAATAATAAAAATTAATAATTTAATTATGGCACCCTCACACTCAAACTTATACAAGGCCATGTAACAATTTAATCATGCAATATATGGTTGCTAACCCAAAACATCCATCATAACTTTTAACTTCCATATCTAAATATCTTTCTTTTTCTACTTTCAAAGGTCTAAGCCAATGTAATATTATTGTCTCAGAACAAAATTACCAATCATATCACAGTAATAATTTGACTTATCATTTTGCAATCATAACTAAATTTGACCAATCATAATACAGTATGAATTTGACCAATCATATTGCCACATAAATTTGGCCAATATAACAACTGACAAAATAATAGGTTAACTATAAACTAATAAGAAACACAGAAAGACAAAATTTTAGATTTCGGTACTGGAATATGTGACAACACAGAAAAAGCTTAAAGAAATATTGTCAAGACGCTGCCACAAAAATAATCTAATGCAAACATTTGCACATACAATAAAAGCTAATTACGTGCTAATTGGTTGTGTACATTTTATTAACAATGTTTACCTTACTATCCCTTCTCTGGTCTGATGCCTGCAATAAACAAACACATTAGACAACACAATTATTTAACTTTCTTTCTAATACCAGCCATAAAAAGATAGCTACAATATATTAAAATTTAAATTATGAAAATATTTCCATTAATCCATTTATTGATCATACTGTATAAATCAGTTTAAAGTATTAATTTGTTATATTTTTCCGCTTTTATTTTGCACTTGGGTTGCGGTTTTCTGCACATAGAAGATATGTCATAGTGTGTGCTTTTTTAAGTGTATCACTTTTACCATTACCATCAGAATATTACTCAATTTTGAAAGCTATGGAAATTTTAATTCAGAAATTTTACATGTTATATGTTACAATGTTAGAAATTAAGTTAGCTTTAAGACAATGGCATCTATAAAGTCTGAAATAGTCATTTTTATGCTAACATGTATGTTATTAATAATATTTTTATGATATTAATATTTATTAAAACATTTATATTAATTGCTGTTACCATGTTAATACAGAAGTTATTATGTTAATGTATATTAAAATAATTGACACTATTCTATGTTTCTAATAAGAGTTATTCTAATGTGTTTTTAATAAGTGCATGTACATATATATATGTTTTTATGTGTTTTTTGTCTACACAGTAATAATAAGATTAATTATGATATAAATTTTATAAATAACTGTTTGTATAAATAAGTAAGCTATGTTAGTGCAAATGCTACCTTGAATTTAGTTTATGCATGTGGGTTATAAAAAATAATTTTTAGATCACACTTCTTCTAGGACAATATAGTATTACTGTACTACAATATTTTTTTTTAAATTTTAACAAAAGAAAAAAAAAAAGTTTGCAACGATATATTATTAATTTCTTGATTCAGTAAGGTTGAAGAAGATGCCCATTCAACCTAGAGATTGATCACTTATTTCACTTGCTTTGTCTTAACAAACTTTAAAAAATAGAAAATGGCGGCACCTATCATAAGCCGCAGCTTGTACATTATAGGTACGCATGTGAACTAAACTACACTTGTGAACGAAAACAAAATAAAAATTACAATAATGAGTATCAACAGAGGACAACTTTGATACAGTTTGGAAATTGTACTAACTATTCTGCATGAGTGTTCTTACGTGTCGTTTCAATGTGATTAACCTCCATGATTAAACTAACTTTTTTATTTTGGAGATTGAAAGATTGAAATGAAGACTGATTACTAGATGGAGCATTGATTGCTGGAAAGGACAGGGTTAAATCACTAAGCAACCAGTCATCGCAACCAGCAGTTTTATTTAATACAATACCTAAATATAATTATATAAAAAAGGATGACTGACTTCATAAAGCTATTATAGTCAAGTTATTTCTGACTCTATAGGCTTATTCAGCCTCTATTTTCAATAGGGTCCTCAGAACTTTACAGGACATGACTATAATTGCATAATAATAAAAGTTGTAAATCCTTGCCGAGCCAAAGGCCTCATATAGCTGGAGCTTAGCTCCACTTTCAGGTAGATGAGATTGTGATGCTCTCCTTTAGCAGGATGCTAGTCCACCGCAGGTTACTCCCAGCAATACTGCTGATACAGCAAGGTAGATTTTTAAGGACAAAAGTGAAATGGACAGCGAAAGATTGAAAACCCGACATCGAGGTTGGGAAAACAAACAGCTTCCACATAATACTACAGTTTGGTGTTTGATGAAACCTGTCATAAATCTGTCTAAATTTGAACCAAATTACTCTTTTGAGACCAATGTGATGAATCAAAAAGAATAACAATGATTTGTAAAATGTAATCTAGACTTATGAGTAAAATATGAGCAGAAATTGCCTCTATATAGACAAACCACCTTTTAAATAAAAAATTTATAGACCTATTTTGTAGGTCAGAATTTAAATTTAAAATGCAATTAGATTTAGTTTACTGCTTCTTTAATTCTATTTAGTGCTCTTGGTAAGAGATTAGGAGAGGGATTTCGCCACACTTTCTTGGCAACAAAAGAGCGTAATGTAAATATAGTCTGAAAGTGTGCAATGCCAAGTAAGTTTTATAGAGCTCAGTGGGTCATCTCAAAAACTCAATAGGTCATCTATAGGACTTAACTATAAAATTGGATTATCACTCATATTTCAAAAACAGAGCGAGTGTCTGATCCCTGTAAGAGCTCAGTAAGAATTTCAATAGCTTACAATTCAAATAACTTTGTACTCCCATACTTTCTAGTACAGACATGTCTGACATTTACAAGTAGCATATGTATGGATCGTGACAACAAGTTTAGCCTAATCGGTTGAAATACGCATGAAATATTTACCATTTTTCAAAACACTGATGTCTCCTCGTAGCCTTCTGTAGAAACACCCATAGCATGAACACTTTCTAGTGACAGTTAATTTAACCTGTTTGCTTATTACAATGCATAAAAAAAGAGCTTTTGACTTGACACTATACTAACTTCATCATCATCATATTGCACTTTTTCAACAATATGCAAAACAGATGGTTGTTGCTATGTTACCATAGGAAATGGAAACCAGGTATATTTTTTTTGGTTTTAGGATATACCATTTTTAAAGTATTATAATATTCAAATTAATATCTGACATTTTATAAATAATGGCAAAAATACTGAAGAAAATATAACAGGATAAGCTTTAGATGTTTCCAAATGTTTATTTTTTTTTCAGCTAGGAATTTTTTTCTTCCATCATAGCAGTCAACCTTTAGTTTTGTATGTTAAATTTTATTGAATATTTACATGTTAATATGTCTCGGCCTGTTCCAAAATAGAATATGTTGGATTATAAAATATTCATATTTCTCACTTAATTTTTTTTTTTATTTAGAAGGAAAAACACTTTATTATTACTGAACATGGCACCTTGGCATTTAGATAAAAGCTAATCATATCTAGATGTATTGACTAGTGTGTACTACAGTAACTCAGGTGTACTAACTCAGGTGAACTAACAGGTATACTAACCCAGGTGTACTAACTTAGGTGTACTAACTCAGATCAACGTGAAGAGAACTTGATAAGAGAAGATAACTATCCAAAAACCTTCATTTTCACTCCATTAATAACTTAAATATGTAAGAAATAGCTAAGGCTACAGACACAGGCTAATGCTGCCCTTCACAATATTAACTACCCAAACCTTGACAAATCAAATAGGTGACTACAGTATTAGTAGTAGGTGATTTCTTCAAAAAAAATTATGTTACCCCGTAGGAGTTAATGATGATAATAATAGCGGTATACAGTTTTATAATACTGCACACGTAGTAATTTTATATGAAAAGAATAAAATTATTAGAATATATAATAAAAATGTTAAAGAATTAAAATAATGTCAAAGATAATATTAACATAAAAAATAATAGACTATCATAACAATAATACTATTAAAAATAATAATAAAACATAACTTGATAAAATATAAAAATGAAACAGATAATAACAATTTTATTAAATGACATGAAAATAAGCATGATAAGAGTAAGTCAGCATACATACTCACTCTCACTAACGCAAATAACAGAAAGTATAAATTAATATAAAATTCTAAAGGAAATCAAACATGCAAAACCACATATGCAAATTAAAAGCAGATTATGCAATTAAAAGCAGAATTTAAAATGCCATAGCATCAATGTACCCACATGTATTTGTGTTGCGGTGTACAAAGACGAGGATAAAGCACCATCGCCGTCATACTTTTCCTCCTCCTCGTTTACACTGAGGCTGCTTTTACTCGTTATTGCTTTCTGCCATTTCAGTTTCTTAACAGTGCGGGGTGAGGACTAATAGCATGCAAATATAAAGAATATAAGACACAATGCAAGGGTTAATAGTAGGCAGAAAAAGACACCAAGCACAGTTGATAAGAGAATGCAACAAATTCAAAATCATAGAAATAAACATAGAAACATAATGCAAAACATAAAGCAATTAAATAAAATAGCAAACAATTTATAAAAACAAATAAAAAATTATCAATCATTTTACATCCATTTTAATCAAAATTATCAACACAGTTATAATAACCTTACAATAAAATGGTTTTTTTTTAATTGATTACATATATATATGATCCAATAAGCTGATATTGCAAAAATATTATCAAGGTTGTGATGGTAAAAATCAATGCAGTATGTACAACGGATGTTCTCAACTTTTTTCCTCAAAATAAAATATAGATATGGCCTTTCTGAAAATGATCAATTATTTACAGAGATGTACTTTAGAGAATTGTTAAACAAGGTATAGTTAGTAGTAACATGACAAACATACTGAATACATTTACAATTTAATGAATCTGACTTGATGAATCTTGATAAAAACATATTATATTAAATAAAAATGGTTATCATATCATGAAATACGACATATAATTCAGTGTTCTTTTGAAATTGTCAAACCATTTAAAGAAATTGTTATGATATTAAACAGATGGACAAAAGCAAGGAATGAGCACATCATGATTTGGAAAAATATGTTATGAATCAAATTTGGGCCTGAAAGAAATGAGGGAGCCTGATGGTAATTCTTGAGATCAAAAGAACCTACTAGTGCATGGATTTCATTAGACCAGGACTGCGCCTTATGGCGGAAAAATCTTAATGGAGAGGCTGTCTTTTTGCGTGTTTTTGACGAATGGAGAAGAGCAAGTAATTGATTTTCGGGAGATGGATGCAGGTAAGTATTGTCATCCACAGAAGAGTGAAGAGATTGTGACTCTGTAGATTGATGTAAAAAATCATCTTCAAACACAGTGTCTCGTTGAAGCTAAAATACAAGAACAGTTAGAATGCTTAAATTTAAAGTACAAAATTAACCTTAGAATAATGGAATGCTTTAAGTTTTGTCAGAAAGTGATGTCTTTTATTAAAAGGAAGTTTGAAAGTATGACAAGTTGAAAGGAAATTGTAATGACAGGGAAAGAAAAAATGGTCTGTGAGGCAGAAATTTTAGAAACATTGATGATTAAATAAAAAGAAACAGACAGTTGGTAAAATCACCTTTCAATCTGATGTTTATCTGTAAGTCTATGTACTTCATATTGAACAAAGATAAATGGAAATACATTGGCAATGATCAACTTTAATTTTGTAGCTCATCATAAGTAATTTAATATTTCTTTCTGAAATTGAGTATAATCATATTGGCCATTTACTGATTAATTTAAAATATGCAAAATAGTAATTTCAAATTAACTATTAATACATTAAGTACTTTGTTGTAAAACAACTGAACAAGTGAAAATATTTCATGTGATTTGATTAAGGATTATTACATTTTTTGTATAACTAATCTTTTATCTTTCTCATTTAACTCCCAAAACCATTCTTAAAATGCAAGCCTCTACACCCTCTACTTATTATGAACATGCCCTGGGCATGAAGATATATATCTTTAACTTTAATTAAGCATTTATTCATAAATAAATTAAGAATTATTTCTTTGTTTTGGTTGTTATAATATTTATAACAAACACTCTTATTGTCAGCATCTTGAATAAAGAAAAAACAAATAAAGATACAAATTTTATTAAAAAAGCACCGGTTTATCAACTGGTAAAAGAACTTTTCAATATGGATCTGCCACCATTGTGATCTTTTTCGCTAAGCGCCGCTCTCAAATAAGCGCTTCAAAATCATTCTATTTTGAATAAACATCACCGCGCTTAATCGAGAGTACATATTACCCTGTGTGTAATTGTAAAACTTAGAGAAACAGGGACAGTGTTCTAATGAATAAATAACACAATGAAGACAGATGCATATCATTATTAACGTTGATTTACATGATGTAGGGCCTATGATAGGCCTGCTGACCTATGTGAATATATGAGATAGGTATCATAAAAACGGGCATGGAAAGCACCAATCCAATATCTTTTAAATAAGCACCATTCTCAAATAAGCGCTGCACTGAAGCCTCTGAAAATGTTATAAGTGCTACAGCGCTTAAATCAAGGATTTACGGTACAGAAAAATGCAACCAAAATTGAGTTTGAACATTTTCAAAATTTTTTTTTATTCATTTTGAATTTTATCATAATTCAAATTAACTTAAATTATCCCTTGTTTTTGTTATAATTTTTCAGTTATATATTTTATGCTTGCTTTTCAGTTATCATACATTTGTTGTTTTTTAGTAATATTAATCAAATGTTTATGTCAATTTTTTAAATTAAAATTTCAATTCTTAACCTTTTAAAAAATAACTGGACCAGTTGGGAGACCAGTACTTTTGTACTGAAAATGTATCCAGTCAAAAGAAATTTCTTTCTTAATCTATTTATATTTCCTTTGTTACTTGTGTTATGTATTGAGGGTCCCTAATGATCAGCTCCGACAGGAAGGACCACCCTCGTAAAAATTGTTGAAATAAATAAATAAATAAATCACTCAGGTGGTAAACGAAAATAAATAATCCTGTAAGGGATTTTATATCATTCATTTTCAACATCCGAGCGTGACAGGTGTTAATCCTTTCGGCAATATTCCTGTGTCAGCAGAGATACTTCATGTGTTGCCATGACAATGGAGAAGAGAAAATGAATCAAAGTTGATTGAGCTCCCAACTATTAATGTTTTTATATTTTTTTATTTTATCCTATTTTTAATAAATATTTGACATTTTTAAATATTATGAGGTTGAAGTTAATTTTTATGAACCATATAATATATAAAGTATTCTAAATTTTCATAATGTATTTTATTTGATTAATTTGTCTGCGTTACTAATTTTTATGATAATAATTTATAAAATCCAGAAATAATATTTAAATGATTGATTGATTTACTTATTGATTTGCTGATATTTTATCAACATTTTTGTTAATTTATCTGTTTGAATTATTTGTCTATAAGTAATTAAATACAGATTTTTGAATTTGAATAATTAGTAATTCTACTAAGTATAATAGCAATATTGTTCAGTCATCAACATTTACAATGTTTATAACCTATTGTACAAAATTACTCATCTTTTGACATCTTGTTTAAATGCACAAGAGTCTTTCATCCGTGAACTGCGATTTTTGACACGCTATGATTTCTAGGCTAGCTAATAGATTACAAAGCATACAAAAGCACAGAGAATGCAAGAAAAAATAAATAAACACTATTTTGAACAGAGGACAGTTGCTTTCCAAACTATAACATTACCTTTTCCTATACTTTCCCACCGATTGCACTGTAAGTTCTCTATACTGTAGTTATTCCCACTACGGTATATGTCACGTGACCGGCTGTAACAAACCTCGCGGAATGTGTCTATCATCTAAATGATATGATTATACTCACTCTAATAAAGTTTCTGGGCCTAAAACAGCATTCAAATGCAATAATATGATTGATTGCAGTTTCAAATGTGATAACGTTTCAAACTTGACTTTATTATGATTGGCGGGACAAAGAAAGTCTAGGCCAAGACCTGTGGTTCCATAAATATAGGAAGGCAAAAGCTCTCCTTTTATTGGTTTTCCATATACTGTATAATCTATTTCTGCTGGGTGTTTATATATCAAGAAGAGAAATTACTTCTGTAGCATTGTAGATCTATACAAGATGCTGGTAAACAAGAAATGAGGGTAATTTTTAATTTCCGTTGCAAGCATTGCAATCCATCAATATGAATCAAGAGTATGTATTAAGTGGTTGATGTTATCGTACAATTTTTATCAGATTGTTTTCAATTGCTAAGAAAAGAAATTAGGGGTACTATCAAAATATAATACCTTAAATTTCAAATGCTAAATGGAATGGATTTTTTTCTATTCTTCAACACTAGCCAAAAAGCACATGAGTATATGTTACAACAACTTATAAATATTTAAAATTTTTAAATAGTATTTATTCTAACACACTTAATATAATTAAAAATCATTGAAATACATAGCAAATTCTCAAAATGTAGCTGGATTGATATGGCTTGCTAGCAATTATAAAAATATAGGACAAACTCATCTTGCATTATATGAAACTTTAGTTATGAAAATGAATATTTTTTGTTTGGTATCATAAAGCAAACATTTTATACCTTCTTTGGCAAATCCGAACCCCAGCCAAAAATCTTTATTTTAAATAAGTTAACATTCTTCTTTTCAGAGAAATTTAATATTAAATGGCATATTATGTCAGCATAGCAATGCTTGGCTGTCATGGTGCGCATGAAATCCTGTATGAATACCTATATAACGCAAGACAAAATATTACATGGGACCCAAACAGGGAAAAGTTAGGGAGCGTCCCTCGCTGCAACATGTCTGTGAAGGCACATCTGTGTATGATTAGCATGTGTTCCATTCAATATCCAATGTAAGAATACAGACATTGCAGAAGCTAAAACACTAACATATTTATCAAGAAATTGTGTGCATGGGCACAAGATTTTCATAATCATATGATAAGACAATTGACTTTGATATCAATATCTCAGGAAATCATTTTAACATTTAGAACTCGTCCCAAGTAAAACTTTGTCTCAAACAAATTGGGTATTAGGTTAGCAAATTATTACTTTTATTATTATATTATTATTAATTTTCTGTTTAGTGCCCTGAACTAGTATTGTAAGATTATATTATAACTAAGACCTCAGAGTTTAATTAAAGTGGTGTTACAAGTGATACACACACACACACTGCCATTTATTAAAAATAAGTTATGTAGCTGACAGCATTATACATTTTCACATGGTTAGTAGCTGTTAGTTTTACATATGAAAGCTTAACAATTTTTTACATTCTCACTTATGTTAGTCATCATTTCTCATAAATTATATGGTATTATATTGATAATACATTACAATTTTAAATATTTATATACGTCATTTCATTAACATATTCATAAAGAAAAGCTTGCAATTCTTCAAACTCTCTTATGTTAATCCTCATGTTACAAACTATATATTAATATATAGGCATTTACTTATATTCTCATATTATTTCATTAAAATTGAATATGTATGTATGTATATAAATGTTATACACACATAAATAAGCTTGATAAATGATGTGCAAACATTTTTGACAAATTACCCTTTTCCTCATTTGCGGTGTCCAATTAACATGCAACTATTAAACAAAAATTTTAAATATATAATAAATAAATCAAGTATGCTTAGTTAGGTCATCAAAACATATTAGCTATCCACATATCTATGTATTAATTTTATTCAAGATACAAGATACAAGTCAACTTTATTGTCAAAATAATACATTCTGAGATATTTGTTGTACATGACATAGAATCATCGTTCATAAACATATAGAGTGTTAAATAAAGATTTCTTAGAAAATAAAAATTTGAGTCCTTTGCAGTTATCTTCTGAAATTTTGGTTAAATAGGTTACAAGCGATGTACAATGCTGAATTTTTAAAACGGTTTGTGGATATTTTGTTTTGTTTATGTCTAACCCTTCCCGATCTATTTATGATAATGTCTGAAAATAATGGATGGGATGAATCTTGCATAATTGAATTAAATTTCTTAAGTAAAAAATCATTAAAAATATCTTCCAAGGACTTAACGTCGGCTCCAAATACTGATGTATCTAAATACATTTATAAATAAATAAAAACATACTGATCTCACATTTCAGTATTTCACCTGTAACATCTAAAGCCCTGTTGAAAAATGTTGATATTCTGGACAGGGCATACTCAACAGTTATGTGTGTTTCAAGTTAGAGTGTATATCAATGGCCAAATATACCATTTAACTATGTACTATATTTATATTCACTTAGATTACAATTTTTCTTTACTTTCAATTATACTTTATTTCTTTGACAGCCCACAGCAAGTTCTCTTTCCAATTATAAGATCGAATGATCCTCTAGAAACTCTAAATTGTAATTATTAAACTTCAGAAGTAAAGTTTGTTCAAGTTAAAAGAAAAAAAAACATCTTTTTGAATTTTGAATTTGAACCCAGAATCCTAGAATTAGAAGGCAAGCATTCAAAGCATCTTAACCAAGCTGCACAACTCTTACTCTTTATATTTTATGATTTTTTTCCCCTATTTTTTGTACACCTTAAAATATGTTGTTATATATATGCCCCATTTGTGTCAGATGATTCTATTATTTCTTAGATAAGCTCCAATAAAGGAAACTGGCATATTATTAAGTTTTTATGCATAATACCCCACCTCTCTGAAGGAGAGGTGAAGGGTATTGAAATAGTGCATCTGCCTTCTGGGCGAATAACACAAAAACTAGACTGGTTTACTTCAAATTTTCACACACTGATAATGTTACTTGGTCCTCCTCAAATTTGGTGCGGATCAAAAGTAAGATGCAGAATGTTATTTTTATATTTTCAGACAGAGCCAACTTGAGCCGATCGTTTGACAGAATTGTTTGGTTATACCGATTCGAATTGAGTGGATTGACAGCAGGCCGACGTGACCGTGTGTCCAATTCTGGCCGTGCAAAAGCACATTGAAAGACAAATTAAGTATGTCTTGTCAATAATCAATATACATTGCAAGACAATGGGTGCTGTTAAATTGGAGGAAAATGAGAAAAAGAAGACACTCTTGGATTGCCTAGGCCCTAGTTAGTATGCTTCTAGCTAGGCCAGGCTAGGAAGTAAGTACTTTTTAGGCCTCGTAGAATCTATGTATGAGGTATATAAACAAATATTGACTGGTCTAGATTCAGGAAACGGTGAAATCTATTGCCCCTCGGTGATGTGGAGACCATAGCCTATCTTCCCTCTGGCCTTTGGTCATCGGGAAGATCCCCACATCACCTCGGGGCAATAGATTTCACCATTCCCCTCATGAGCAGTCAATATTTGTATATTATATTTTGTTTTATATAAAGTATAGTAAATATACAATACATAAGATACTGTATCTCATTTCTTTTCTTTTTAGATATCAAAATTTTTAATTATAGTACAGTAAATAAACTGTTAAATATTTTCATTTAAAAATATAGATTATGCCCCATATAATTTTGTTATGCATTTATTCTAGATACTCAATCAAATAGTTTTATAATCTGCCAAAGAAAGAAGCAACAATTTCCAAAAATTGATTTAAGTTTATTTAGTAGGCTCTAGCAAGCAGAGATTAATGGAAAATTATGTTAACATAATCAATAAATTTGGTTAGGATTATCATGCAAATCGACTACAGTAGCAAAGCTGCAAACTAAGATTAGCCAGGGTATAAGAAACACAACCTACATGATGTCTGTCATCGATAGCAGCAGACTCCATTGCCTGTTTTTCGGAGGTCAACTCCGGGTCAGAGTGTTCTTGGTGGTGATGTTGATGACGTTTACGGTGTTTAAGAGAATGTCGACCAACATTAGGAGAGAACTAGATAAAAAGTTTGTGAAAAAAGATCGAAGAATTCCCAGATAAATAGACAGAGAAAAACCAAAAAAAGAGAAAAACCTAATTAAGAAAAAATACATTAAAATTAGACGGATGTTAAACATGAATAGCCTTGATATACACTGTAGAATTTTATTTCAATTAAACATATTTTAGAATAAACAAAAATAGAAGAAAGTAAAATGCATTACATTATTTAAATAATTCACAAATTATAGTGTTGGTTGCAGATTGAAACTGATATTATTTGTAGCAATAAACCTTGCAGAATAATAAGAGATATCAAATCAATGTAGTGTTTTTTTTAATTGTAAATATTTTCTGAAAGGTAAACCATAATAAGGTACAGATTATAATTAAATAAGTTCATCAGGTTTGTAGATGTACAATAAATATAATTTTCTTTTAAACAAAACAAAGAACCATTTATTATTGACAGAGTTTCGAGTATCCTGAATGATACCCTTCTTCAGAATGATGGTACTGTAGATCCTTCATTCTGTTTGGTTGAATCCTGATAGTTCAGTTTGTGACTTTCTTTTGGTAGCCTTAGATGTTTAGCTTTTTCTATCCCAGATGTTTCTTTTTTTTTTTTGGGGTCATGCTGTTAACCTTCTCGTAACCCTGCTACGTCTGTTCCAGTCAACTGATAACAGCAAGTAGAATTCATTATATGGAAGCTACATCAAGCTATACTATACTTGTGTAGCTCCTTGATTATGGATTCACATAAACGAACAATGTTTCTTTTTCCTGATCCACAAGTTATTGATATGGACAATGCTAAAATTCTTGGTATTAAGAAGAGCGAGACCAACGTCATAGAATTTGTGAAGCCATCTGGATCAGCAATGGTGTAGCTAGGTGAGAACGGGCCCCAGTGCAAGAAAAATTGCCAGGTTCTTTGCTGTGCTGTAAAGTGTCAACCGAGGATCACAGGCCTGAGTTATGGCTAGTGGGTGGGGGTGTGCTGAGAGCTATCAATTTCCCCCAGGGGTTGGGGAAACTCCGAACGCTAAAATTTTCAGGAGCCTTCTTGAACTTAAAAAATATTTCTGTAACTTGGTATGTCATTTTTTTCCATTCTAATTAAGATAAACAAATAATTTGTAATTTAATAACTCCTCCATTTTTTAATATCTACTGTATTATAACGGCTCACTCGCCAATGGTTCCGATGGTGGATTACCCCGGTGTACTGGTCCATCAATAACAATCCGGCCACCAGCAC